ATGTGATGAGCGTGGTGAGTGTGATGGTGGTGATGGTGTGATGATGTAATCACCGTGGTGAGTGTGATGGTGATGATAGTGTGGTGATGTAATGGCCGTGGTGAGTGTGATAGTGGTGATGGTGTGGTGATGTGATGAGCGTGGTGAGTGTGATGGTGGTGATGGTGTGATGATGTAATCACCGTGGTGAGTGTGATGGTGATGATAGTGTGGTGATGTAATGGCCGTGGTGAGTGTGATGGTGATGATAGTGTGGTGATGTAATGGCCGTGGTGAGTGTGATGGTGGTGATGGTGTGATGATGTAATGGCCGTGGTGAGTGTGATGGTGATGATAGTGTGGTGATGTGATGAGCGTGGTGAGTGTGATGGTGGTGATGGTGTGGGGAGCGGTAGTGTAGTGGTGGGTGTGATGGTGGTTATGGAATGGGGAGCGGTAGTGTAGTGGTTAGCGCGCTGCGCTATGAACCTGGAGAACCGAGTCTGATTTCCGCTCACAGCCAACACCAGTGACGATTATCTACACCCGTCCTGGGCCTCCCCTAGGTCGACTCAGCCTCAATTGAGTATCTGGGGCTGTGTTTTGTGAACATCGCCACTGGGGAGACAAAGGCGGACAGGCATGGTGCTGGCCACCCACCCCCTCATATGCCTTGCAGGTGTTCGTTCACAGCACCTGCCCCAATAGTCTGTTAAGGCTATTCTGGGGACCTTTGTCTTTGGTGTTGGTGATCGTGTGATGGTATCGTGATCGTGGTGAGTCTGATGGTGTGGTGAAAGACAGAGTAACGACAGTAACAGAATAAACGAATCCCCCAACAGCATCGCTACCGCTCTCATGCCACATCTCAGTTTAAACTAAACTAGTAAACTATTTTTTTTATTTTTACCAGGCGAAGGCACGCTGAGCTATAATATATATTTTTCAAAAGCGAACTGACTCTCACAAATGATAGCTCAACGAAGTCGTTCATCGCGTGGACATTTCTCGCAGACAAACGCACTAAACGCGTGACGTTGATTCCAAATGTGGAAGGAAAAAACGCAGGACCCGGAGAAAAATCCACGCGACCACGGGGAGAACACGCAGACTCCAAATACACAGGCAGGCGACAGGGTCGGAATCGAACCTACGACTTCCTGTATACCAGGCAAGGGAGTTGGCATTTCGCCACCGTAGCAGCTGTGTTAGGAGTCGGGGGGGGGGGAGTGTGAGAAATTGGAGAGCGGGGGGCTAGAGCCATATCCAAGGGACATAACCCCACACCCCTCCCCCCCGACCCGCTGTGTAACCTGAACGCACACAGCACGCTCCTATTAATGCCACTTTCACCAAACGAACCCAAATCACAACTCGGCGACGTTGCGAGAATCCCATCGCATAGCCGGGCCGCGCACGGAATGAGAACGACGAAACGAGGAGAGAGAGAGTGAGAGCGAGAGAGATGCGAGTGGAAGAGAGAGAGAGGAGAGAGAGTGAGCGAGAGAGTGAGCGAGAAAGTGAGCGAGAAAGTGAGCGAGGGAGTGAGCGAGAGGTGGGGGTTTAACATAAAGCTAAGTTTAAAAATGTAAAAAAAAAATTACGAAATGATGAACGAAGCAAAGTGCCGAATACACCGAGCATCTTCTTGTTTCCACTGATCGTAAAAAAAAGAGACACGGGGTTAGAGCGAGGGAGAGAGGGAGGCAGAGATGAGAGCGAGAGAGGGGGCGACAGAGGAAAGACAGAGAAGAAAGAGGAGACTTGGGGGAGGGGGGGTGGGGGTGAGATGGGGTGGTGGTGGGTGGGGGGAGGGCAAGAAAATCGTTAAAGGAGCAGAGCGCCCCGGGTCGTGGATGTCACGACATGAGCGCGATCTCGCCACGTCCCAGTGAACACGCGAGGGTGACGTGTCGCCTGACGGCTCCTCGGGCTCGAGTCGAGGACGCGTAGCTGCTCACGGCGTTCTCGCGCTACGCGTCACATACACGGGCTGCGATGATGATGATGATGGGGGCTACGTGGATGCGCCGTTGTGCCGATCGATTACTGGTCGATTCCCAAGGCTTTTGTGATGCACTTGGACATGTGTTGTTTCACGGCCGTCTGGTCAATCTCCCCTACCCCTCCCTCTCCCCAACCCACCCCCCTCCCCATGATGCAATCAAACCAGACCGCATTGACACATCTGCGTGCAGAGTGACTGAAGCACGGGGCATGATTTCAGCGCCGGTGCTGAAGTCCGTAAAATATGTCCCACCCACTTCCCCTGCTGTTGAGGGTAGAGGTCCGGCTGGTTGGGGAGGGGGAGGGAGGGTGGGGCGTTGTGGGGTGGTGGGGCTCGTAAACTATTCCAGGGGAAATTGAGTCGTCACACGCTCATCATTGACCCAATGTGATGTTGTACGTGGCCGGGCTCTTATTTAAATCCACCGTTGGATGTTGACGACCTCCCCAAGCAGTGCGGGGTATCATGTGCGGGTTCATTTGACCATGCGCCAGCATCGCTGGTCAGTGATGGGTTTGGCGAATGTGGTAAGCGAGCATACATCGTGGGGACATAGAAGTGCAGTAGAGCAAAACATGGGTTCTGCCGCATCGCCTTCACGGCGAAATGTTGGCTACAATTCCAGGTCCGAGAATGTCAAAATATATATATCAGTTTGAATGCCACGCAAATGAGCATTACTTCTCTTATTATTCGGGCGAGTGGGATAGATGAAGCGTGACGTTTTGAGAAGATCACTTGAAGAGGATGTTGGCAGTGGTTCTGTAATGCCCACTTCGGCGGGCCGTTTTTTTTATCACGGGGTGATGAATTGCTTCTGCGAGACTTTGACACCGCGACTCAGAATAATGTTTGGCAAAATAAAAATTTAGTATTTGAAGAACAATGCACAACAGCACTATAGTGACCTCGCAAAAACGGGAAGGAACTCCTGGCCCTACTGCTGCCCTTGTGACTGCAGCAGTCACAAGGGCAGCAGTAGGACCAGTTGCAGGGGCAGTGTGAGTCAGTGAGGACGTGTGTGCACGGTTGTGCAGTTCGATTTCCGCTCGCTGGCGGGGAGCGGTTAGTGTAGCGGTTAACAAGCTGCATTACGAACCCGGCGACCCGAGTTCAATTCCCGCTCACGGCCATCCCCAGGGACGATTGTCTGAACCGGTCTTGGGCCTCCCCTACCTCGACTCAGCCTCAAATAAGTACCTGGTGTGATGCGTAAACATCGCCACAGGGAAGACAAAGGCGGTCGGGCGTGGTGCTGGCCACCCACCCCCTCGTGTACCGTCCCAGCCTTCATAGGTGCTCGCTAACAGCACTTGCCCCTCCAGTCTGTTAAGGCTATACGGGGGATCTTTGTCTGTGTCGTTGCAGTTCGATTCGCGCTCACTGGAAACACCGGTGACGAATACCTGAATGGATTACGGGCCGACACCGAGGGCGACTCAGCCTCAAATGACGAGTACCTGGTGGTGGTGGTGTGTAAAAAAACCACGAGCACTGGGGAGACAAAGGTGGCGGGTTTGGCGTGCTGCTGACAGCAACAAATCCCTTGGGTGTGACGTTCCGGCCTTCTTCATAGGCGCTCGCCAACAGCACTTGCCCCAACAGTCTATTCGAGGCTAAGATATTCTCTCTTCCGATATTAGAAAGCCGCTGGAACCACCGCACTCTTAAATCTAATCTTGAAACAAACTCATTCATTGTTGCGTTCGGTTTGATGTCCTGACCCCGCATCTCCGATTAGCGCGCTTGGCTACGTTGGGTGCGGAAGAAGTTCAACATGGTGGTTCACTCACGGATTGTTGCACCCGTAAGGTGAAACAGTTGGGGGGTGGTGGGGGGCGTTGTGGGGGGGGGGGGGGGCGGGAGACAGCCCCCCCCCGTCCCCGACTTTAGGTAAAGGTAACGAAGGTGTGTGGTGAATGTCCTAGAGTCATCATCATCATCACTCGACACGTTACAAGACACGCGCGCTCATCTCGGCTCGTGGACCGTGCCTCGAACCTCGGCAGTGGCAGAGGGGAGAGGTGAGGGGGAGACAACCCATACTGTACAGAAGACCATCGTCAAGTTCAACACGCACCACACACAAGGCTGGACGGGAAGCTTTCTCTCTTCGTCCTTTGCAGGAGCCAGGGGGGCAGTAAGGCAGTTGGGAGCAGCAGCGGGGGCATGAGCAGCAACAGAGACAGTCACAGGGACAGAAGCAGCAGGGGCAGTCAGAGGGGGCAGCAGCTGCAGGGCCGAGTGGGTGGTTGACCGGCCGGCGGAGGCGTTGCATGAGAACGTCTGTGAGAATGTTGGGCTTTTATTGAATCCTTTTTTTTGTATCTGTGCATTTGTACATGTACAGTATAAACATACGTCTGGCGTTAGCTGCCAAAACACACAGCAATTGTAACCAATGACAACTACCCCAAGCTCCGGCTTTCTTGCCGCCGCACGCGATTTTTTTTGTATTATTTTACGGGGGGGATGGGATATGGGGGTGGGGTGTTTCTGGAACCACAGTTTTACAATGTAAAAAAAAACCCACCCCAAATAAGTGTTTAATGCAATTGCATCGATAAAATTAAATGACACACTTCGGGTAGAGAGAGGGAGAGAACCACACCAAACACTGAACGATAATGTACAGCCTACAGCCTTCTAATAATTGTCTAATCGCTACGGGTTGTTGTTTTTGTTGCTGCTGCGTGTGTTTGTGTGGAAGCACAATAGTTAATTTATTCAATGTGAGAGGCGCGCGTCTTTTTTGGGGGGCGGGGGAGGGGCGGAGGATGGAGGGGGGGGCAATCAACATCTTATTATTTCCCTTCTTTATATTTCCATAGCTTCATACTAGTTATGGGGGTTGATTCCACCACGACCACCACAACCACCATAACCACTACCATCACCACGACGACTCACGTGGTGGTGGTTCACTCACGGATTGTTGCACCCGTAAGGTGAACAGTTGGGGGGGGGGGGGGGTGGTGGGGGGTGTTGTGGTGGTGGTGGGGGGGGGAGGGCGGGAGACAGCCCCCTTCGCTCCCGACTCCCGGTGAAGGTAAATAAGGTGTGTGGTGAATGTCCTAGAGTCATCATCATCATCACTCGACACGTTACAAGACACGCGCGCTCATCTCGGCTCGTGGACCTCGCCTCGAACCTCGGCAGTGGCGGGGGGGGGGGGTGGTGGGAGGTGGGGGGAGACAACCCATACTGTACAGAAGACCATCGTCACGTCTAAATAGAATACTGTATGATACAATAGATTAATTTATGTCATTTCATTTCGTTTAACTTTTTTACAAAAATAATAAAAACGCATTGAGGTATAAAAGAAAGAAAGGAAGGAATCAAAGGACGGACGGACGGACGCAACGAGGGTTAAGGGGAAGAACTGGAACTGAACTTGGGGTTTTTTTCTTCTTTCGAAGGAAAATCTCTCGAGAGTCAACTTGGGTGGCGCGTGGTGCCGTGTAGTGCCGTGTTGGCGCGTGGTGCCGTGTAGTGCCGTGTTGGCGCGTGGTGCCGTGCCGTGCCGTGGTGCCGTGTTAGCACATGGTGCCGTGTAGTGCCGTGGTGCCGTGCCGTGTTGGCACGTGGTGCCGTGCCGTGGTGCCGTGCCGTGTTGGCACGTGGTGCCGTGCCGTGTTGGCACGTGGTGCCGTGCCGTGTTGGCGCGTGGTGCCGTCCCGTGCCGTGGTGCTGTGCCGTGCCGTGTTGGCACGTGGTGTCGTGCCGTGGTGCCGTGCCGTGGTGCCGTGCGGATGTGCGAGTAAAGCAGAGGGCAGATGGGGGTAGGGGGGGGTCATCCTCACATCGTCTCTCTCGAGTCTCACACCGGGTCGCGGTGACCCGCGCGTGTGGTCACGGGTAGAGAGAGAGAGACAGACAGAGAGACACACACGCGTACACGCACACAAAATGCCCCACATTTTTTGTTGTTGCCACAGAGATTAGCAGTGGATAAGGCTGGACACATTCTCTCGCGATGCTCGGGTTTGTTTCGTGTTATATATTTTTTTTTCTCTCGTGAGTATGGTTTTTATTTGTTCACGGGGCGATGTGGCCGCTCACAAGAAACCTTCTGGCGGAGGCGTTTCTCGCGTGAATCAGCTCCGACGCAGAGTTCTGTGGAAGACGAGGAGGGGGGGGGGCGGGGGAAGAAAGGGGGCGGGGGGAGAAAGTGGGCGGGGGGGAGAGGGGGCGGGGGTAGAGAGAAGCGGGTCCCGAAGCAGGTTTCGTGTGCATGGCTTCAACTTGTGCGCCTAGCCATTGGAGCTCTTTTCGAGAGGAAGGTTACATGTTTTCAGTAGGGGGTGAAGCGGCTGTATCCACCCCTGTACAGACTGGCCTGAAACACACGCGCACAGGCAGACACACGAACACGCACACGCGCACACACAGGCGGAACACGGAGAGACGCGCGCGCGCCCACACACGCGCACACACGCGCACACACACACGCGTGTACAGGCAGGCCAGACGTGCACGCGAACACACACGTACGCACGCCCAACAGACACACGTCCACACGCGCACGCAGAGACACAGACACACACGCCCACACACAGACACACACACGTGAGGAAGGACACTTGGCAACACCAAACAACGGACTTGTTATATTTCCCCCCACCCCCTTTTTGACACTCAAATGGCACTCCCGTGCAAATTCCTGAGTCCTAATTAAGCGGCGCCGTGGTCCAGAGGACGCTCTTGGCCCCGCTCAAGGATTCTCGGGGAGGCGGTGGTCAACTCGGCGCTGTGTCGGTGTCTCTGGGAGGCTCAACAAGGACACTTTGGTCAGCTGGCAGCCCCAACCCCAGCCACCCCACTCCACCTCGCCCACCCTACCCCCCCACCCTACCTCACCTCGCCCACCCTACCCCACCCCACCCTACCCCACCCTACCCCACCCTACCCCACCTCGCCCACCCTACCCCACCCTACCTCACCCTACCCGACCCTACCTCACCTTGCCCACCCTACCCACCCTACCCCACCCTACCTCACCCTATCCCACCCTACACCACCCTACCCCACCCCACTCCACCTCGCCCACCCTACCCCACCCACACCCCATCCACACCCCACCCCGCCCTCCACCCACCTCATCCCAACCACACCCATCTCACCCATCCATACTTGTTCAGCCCCGCCCAGAGCACACATCTTACTGCTCATACGTGTCAACTTTTGGGCGAACGTCAACACGGGGTTTGAACCGTTGTAAACAACGATGGCCCAACGTTGACCCAACGTTCCATGCTGGTTAGACGCCCCCCCCTGCCCCACTCCTCCGCTAATCCGGCACGATATTCAAGTAGTCCAGAACCGATCAGCGTGGGTGAAGTAAGGCCACACAACCCCCTCCCCCCCACCCTCTTCACGACCCACACGGCAAGCGGAGATCTTCAACCAGCAGTGCATTAACACCACAAATAACGTGCGGCATTAATGAGTGTCGTATGATGATGATATTCTTCATTAATTCTTGACTAATTGAATGCACATTGGTGTACAATAACATTTAACAACACTCCAGGTTCCATAAAGAAGGGCCATTGCCCGAAACGTCGCCAATGATACATTTCCTTTTAAGGCCGCGATGTTATTGACTGTGTTGAGCTTTCTTGTGAACTTTAAGTACATAACGTTATTGATTGATGCTTAGATGCAACGCAGTGGGCCATGGGCAATCGTGAGCCATTACCGTATTCTCAGGATAATAAGACGCAGCTGCCCCCCCCCCCCCTGCACAGTTTTTATTTTAAAAACAGCAAAAGTCATCCGATGCATGGGCGTCTTCTGATCCGTCAGGGCGCCGCTGCGTGAACGCTCCCGGATTTGTACATCTCCATCGGACACGTGGGGGACCTTCCACAAAGTTTCGGGTGCGTTTTGTTTTTGCTGAGTCGGGGTGGGGGGGGGGACTACGGTAATAGATGCTCCAGGGGTGGCTGGGGGTGGGGCGGGTGGTGGAGGGAGGATGGGCAACGTGGTGGGGGTGGTAGGGGGGGGCTCACGCCACCCCCCCGCCCCCCCCCCTCTCGCAGTGGACGTGAGACGCCACGACGGAATCGGGATGATGGAGACGAGCTTCGAGTGCCGGGAGCGATGCGCGATTCTCGCGGGCACGCGGAGCCCAATTAGGGGGCTCGCGGCTCCGCGGCGCGGCCACGGGCGGTTGCGAACGCGATACAGAGGCAAAGGCAAAATCCCCCAGCTCCGTATAGGCTCAATAGATTATCGGGACAAGTGCTGTTCGCGAGCACCTATGAAGGCCATTGCGGCACAGCACGAGGAGATGGTGTGGACCGAACCACTCAAGGCGATGTTGAGATACAAACAGCGCCAGGTACTCATTTAAAGCTGAGTCGACCTAGGGAATTGAACGTGTTCAGCGCGATGAGCTGACCACTACGCTACCACTCGCCATCAATTCACTGCATACACAGATGCTCACTCATCATTCATACACAGCGCCGAGAGCGCGCACACACACACTCGCACATACATACACACACATGCACTCACACACGAACTCATCGCACACATACACACACTCGCACATACACACACATACACGCACTCACACACGAACTCATCGCACACACACTCGCACATACACACACACATGCACTCACACACGAACTCATCGCTCACACGCTCACACACACTCACTCATGAGACACATACAACACAGCTGATTTATATATATATGTACTCAACACTCGCCAGACAAAGATCCCCCGTATAGCCTTAACAGGCTATTGGGGCAAGTGCTGTTAGCGAGCACCTATTAAGATTGGCACGACACACAAGGGGAGTGGGTGGCCAGAACTACTCCCAGCCGCCTTTGTCTCCCCACTGGCGAGGTTAAAACACCGCTCCCGGTACTCATTTGAGGCTAAGTCGACCTAGGAGAGGCCCACGACCGGTTCAAACTCATCACGCACACACAAAAGACAATCAAGCAACCGCACTCATAACGCAGACAACAATAATAGCCTCAATTCGCCACTAAATGGCGGAGATTTGAAAGCAGCACTTGCACAAGGCGAGCAGCACCTTGAGGTCAGGTGATTAGGCAAAGGTTGGCTGCTCTCAGGAGGTCACGGGCCAGACCCAGGTGTTACGAGTTAACGGAGACGACTGTCAGATCAGAGTTTGGGCCTTGGAGATCGTATCGCCTTTCTTGCCCTGAAGGGGAAGCCATAGCAGTGGCGCTGAAAGTTATTTTTTTGTAAGATATCACACAGTGTGACTTGTTATCGCGGGCAGCTGGGGCAGTTTCCATCTCCTCGGGAACTCGTGACCACCACTCATCCTTGCGGAGCCGCAAGGCTCTCCGAACTTGCGAGCGGAGGTTGCTGTTACTCGTCCCGATTTTCGGTGCGTCGGATGCAATGTATGTGTGTGTACGGTGGACTTCTTTTGCACCGTACATAGCCAACCGTGCTGTTGCGAATGGTGAGATCGGGACTTAGTCGGCTGCAGGAGCACGTGGTCTGTCAGCCAGGCTCACTGGAGAGGTCTCCCACACCTCGCCGCTACACTTACATTTCTCCATCTCATTATTTTATTCAGAGGATATCCTGCCCTGAGTAGAGGATTTCCCACCCCTGTGTTGGTGACAGTAGCTGGAGCCGAACCACCAGACGAACCACAATGTATTATAGTTGCGCAGAGTTCCAGGCGGTGGCGGGCCAGCTCCCGACAAGCGTAATGGCAGGCTCTTCTCCCAAGCAAGTGATTGGACAATACTCATCATTTTGATGAGTGCGGGTTGTTGAAGGTGTGGAGGCATAGAAGTACAGCACAATAAATCCCGGTGCCCTTCTCTCTGCTGCCCACAACGTGACCCCACATCCTATAACGCCTACTATCCATCGCGGTCGCTCATCCAAACACCGCTATCCAGGCTCACAACTCCCTGCTTAGCTTCCTAGGCTCTACAGACGAGGTCAGCGGGCCAATTCTGGGCGATTCGGTCATAGGTCCACTTCGCATGACACTCGCATGACGCTCACGCACAGAGGAACACAAATACACAAAAAAAGACACGGCATTTGAGAGGTCCCATTTGTAATGTGGAGGACGGATGAGCTGGCCCAGGGTGGAGGCGAGAGAGGGCCGCGAGGAGCGAGAGTGCGGGCCTTGTGATGAGTGAGTCATTGCCAACGGGAGCGAGGGATGGTGGACGTGGGAGGGGGAAAGGCGAAGTGGGGGAGGGAGGAAGGGACGAGGGAGGGAGGGAGAGAATGGGTGAGAGTAAGGAGCGAGGAAGTGGAGGTAAGGATGGATGATGAAGGCAGAGAGAGAGAGAGTGAGGAATGTAGGGAGGAGTATGGAGAGGAAAGGGGAGGGGGGGCATAGAGGGAAATATGAAGGGAGAGAGATTGGAATATGGAAAGAGATATGGAGGGAGAATGGAGAGATAATTGCAGGAGGGATAGAGAGAGAGAGAGGGAGGGGGATGGTGCGACAGAGAGAGGGGAGAGAGATAGAGATATTTTTAAAAATAATATTACAAATATTACATAGAAAACACAGGGGAAACATAGACATGGAGTAAGGAGAGAGGGGGTAGAGAGAGAGGGGGGGGGGGGGTAGACAGAGGGGGTAGAGAGAGAGAGGGAAGGGGTAAGGAGAGCAGAGCGTGACATTTTTTTATTTAAAAAGGAGGGGGCGGTTTATATAAATCAAAGCATAAAAAAAACGAAATGATGAACGAAGCAAAATTACGACTACACCGAGCATCTTCTTGTTTCCTCTGATCTTAAAAAAAGAGATGGAGAGAGGGATGAAGGGAGAGAGAGAGAGGGACGATGAGAGAGAGATGGAGGGAAGCAGGATGGAGAGTAAAGGGAGGGATGGATGGCAGCAGCTGGACACAGCAGTGGCGCGAGTGGGGGGAAGCGGGGGGGGGGGGGGTGTGTAATATGTATTGATGAAAGCTTAGGGCAATACGGGGATCAAAGTGGAAGAGATGCACTTTTGGGGGTGGGGGGGGGGGGGGGCGGTGGGGGAGGGGCGAAGTTACACAGGCAGAGACTGCATAGTGTAAGACGGGATTTAAAGAGGAGAGAGAGAGAGAGAAAAAGAGCATTACTGGGTAGCTTTCCAACTTGAGATGTGATGGACACAATGTTCCGGCTTCACTGCGCCCACTGAATATTCCAAATTTATCCACGAAAAAGTCATTTAGCGCGCAAATTCGGTAAATTCATCTTCCTGTCAAAGCCTATCTCGCCACTCGGCACATCTGCCCACGTTAAGCGCTGTAGCGGTGGTCAGAGCGTGAGATGGAGATGGGGGGGGGGGGAGAAAGCGGGGGTGGGGG